CCAGCTCCCCACCCCCAGCTGTCCCTCCCCTAATTTCCCCCCAACAGACCCCAGTGTGTTATGCTCCCCTCCCTGTGTCCATGTGTTCTCATTGTTCAACACCCGCCTATGAGTGAGAACATGCGGTGTTTGATTTTCTGATCTTGTGTCAGTTTGCTGAGAATGATGGTTTCCAGGTTAATCCATGTACCTACAAAGGACACGAACTCATCGTTTTTGATGGCTGCATTATATTCCATGGTGTATATGTGCCACATTTTCCCTGTCCAGTCTGTCATCGATGGCCATTTGGGTTGGTTCCAGGTCTTTGCTATTGTAAACAGTGCTGCAATGAACATTCGTGTGCATGTGTCCTTATCGTAGAACGATTTATAATCCTTTGGATATATACCCAGTAATGGAATTGCTGGGTTAAATGGAATTTCTATGTCTAGGTCCTTGAGGAATCGCCACACTGTCTTCCACAATGGTTGAAGTAATTTACACTCCCACCAACAGTGTAAAAGTGTTCCTATTTCTCCACATCCTCTCCAGCATCTGTTGTCTCCAGATTTTTTAATGATCGCCATTCTAACTGGCGTGAGATGGTATCTCAACGTAGTTTTGATTTGCATTTCTCTGATGACCAGTGATGATGAGCATTTTTTCATATGTTTGTTGGCCTCACGTATGTCTTCTTTTGTAAAGTGTCTGTTCATATCCTTTGCCCACTTTTGAATGGGCTTGTTTGTTTTTTTCTTGTAAATCTGTTTTAGTTCTTTGTAAATTCTGGATATCAGCCCTTTGTCAGATGGGTAAACTGCAAAAATTTTTTCCCATTCTATTGGTTGCTGATTCACATTCTCATGACTGTTTCTTTTGCTATGCAGAAGCTATGGAGTTTGATTAGGTCCCATTTGTCTATTTTGACTTTTGTTGCCAGTGCTTTTGGTGTTTTGGTCATGAAGTCCTTGCCTATGCCTATGTCCTGAATGGTTTTGCCTAGATTTTCTTCTAGGGTTTTTATGGTGTTAGGTCTTATGTTTAAGTCTTTAATCCATCTGGAGTTAATTTTAGTGTAAGGTGTCAGGAAGGGGTCCAGTTTCTGCTTTCTGCACATGGCTAGCCAGTTTTCCCAACACCATTTATTAAACAGGGAATCCTTTCCCCATTGCTTGTTTTTGTCAGGTTTGTCAAAGATTGGATGGTTGTAGATGTGTTGTGTTGCCTCCGAGTCCTCTGTTCTGTTCCATTGGTCTATATCTTTGTTTTGGTTCCATTACCATGCTGTTTTGATTACTGTAGCCTTGTAGTATAGTTTGAAGTCTGGTAGTGTGATGCCTCCCACTTTGTTCTTTTTTCTTAGAATTGACTTGGCTATGCAGGCTCTCTTTTGGTTCCATATGAAGCTTAAGGTGGTTTTTTCCAGTTCTGTGAAAAAGGTCATTGGTAGCTTGATGAGGATAGCATTGAATCTGTAAATTACTTTGGGCAGTATGGCCATTTTCACGATATTGATTCTTTCTAACCATGAACATGGAATGTTTCTCCATCTGTTTGTGTCCTCTCTTATTTCATTGAGCATACCAAAACCTGGCAGAGACTCAGCAAGAAAAGAAAACTTCAGGCCAATATCCATGATGAACATAGATGCAAAAATCTTCAGTAAAATACTGGCAAACCAATTGCAACAGCACATCAAAAAGCTTATCCACCATGATCAAGTAGGATTCATCCCAGGGATGTAAGCCTGGTTCAACATACGCAAGTCTATAAATGTAATCCACCACATAAACAGAACCAAAGACAAAAACCACATGATTATTTCAATTGATGCAGAGAAGGCCTTTGACAAAATTCAACAGCCCTTTATGCTAAAAACCCTCAATAAACTAGGTATTGATGGAACGTATCTCAAAATAATAAAAGCTATTTATGACAAACCAACAACCAATATCATACTGAATGAGCAAAGACTGGAAGCATTCCCTTTGAAATCTGGCACTAGACAAGGATGCCCTCTCTCACCACTCCTATTCAATATAATATTGGAAGTTCTAGCCAGAGCAATCAGGCAAGATAAAGAAATAAAGGGTATTCAAATAGGAAAGGAGGAAGTCAAATTGTCTCTATTTGCAGACAACATGATTGTATATCTAGAAGACCCCATCATCTCAGCCCAAAATCTCCTGAAACTGATAAGCAAGTTCAGCAAAGTCTCAGGATACAAAATCAATGTGCAAAAATGACAAGCATTCCTATACAGCAATAACAGACTTAAAGAGAGCCAAATCAAGAACGAACTGCCATTCACAATTGCTACCAAGAGAATAAAATACCTAGGAATACAACTAACAAGTAACGTAAAGCACCTCTTCAAGGAGAACTACAAACCACGGATCAAAGTATTTTTGAGGCAGGTTGTGGTATCTGGTACTATAATCTCAGCACTTTGGGAGGCTGAAAGAAGAGGATCACTTGAGGCCAGGAGTTCAAGACCAGCTGAGACAACATAGTGAGACGCCATCTCCACAAAAAAATTTTATAAAAAATTAGCTGAGTATACTTGAGTATGGTGGTGCATACTTGTAGTCCCAGCTACTTGAGAGGCTGAGGCAGGAGGCTCTCTTGAGTCCCAGAATTCAAGGCTGCAATGAGCTATAACTGCGCCACTGCAGTCTAGCCTGGGTAACAGAGCAAGACCCTGTTTCATAAATAAATTAGTAAATAAATAAATACAAACTGTGAATTTGTTCAGTGCTGACCTCTCCCTATTTTGTATGTTGTGAAGCAATATGAGGCAGGACCAGTGGCCTGCTCAGGTGTCCTGGTGGTGCAAAGATCTCCTGACCCACTCTTTAGCAGTCACCCTTCACACCTGCCTATCTGTCTAGGCAGCACCAGTGTCCCCCTAAGATAAAGCCATGCTACTCAGTAGGAAGAATGAAATAACCATTCTGAGAGGTAAAAGACAAAGGGGTGAAGTGGGTGCCTTCCTCCTCTCTTAGCCTTGTGCCTGCCCCTGAAAGAGTGTGGAATTTAGTGTATACACATTGTCTTTGGTTTCTGGACTAAGGCTGAGCAAGATTAATAACTTGTTATGTTGAACTGCTTATCTTCAGTAGCTAGTGTTTGGACAGTGTGCCATTCCTGTGGAATCTTGGGGACAGGAGTGAGATTTGAGAAGCATTCCTTTCCTCCTTTGTCCTCAGGCAGAGTGGCTTCCAGCTGGGAGAGCTAATTTTCTTCAGATGTCCAGGAGATTCTAGTAGTTTATGCCATCGTCATGCTTCTCATTGATTAGAAGAACCAACTCCGTGGGCCTTTGTGTCTCTCTTTCAGGTCTAACTTCAAACTCGTGGCTGTTAATTCAAAACTCTATGCCATCGGAGGGCAGGCCGTTTCTAACGTTGAGTGTTACAACCCTGAGCAGGATGCTTGGAATTTTGTGGCACCCTTACCCAATCCTCTGGCTGAGTTCTCTGCCTGTGAGTGCAAGGGAAAAATTTATGTCATTGGAGGATACACTACCAGAGGTAAGTGAAGGGACTAAGTAGGTGGTCTGGCCATGTGTAGGTGTCGGCAGCTGGGAAGGGCAAGACAGTGTCAGAGGAAGCTCTGATGTACCCGAGTGTCATTTTATGGTTTAATACTGTACACTTAGACATCTGGAAGGAAGCGAGTCCCATTTGGGTGGGGTGATTGGGACAAGAGGGATCTTTTGATAACTTTGTGTGAGCATAAAAATCAAATGGGGAAGGGAGGGCTGTGAAAAAAATATGTTGTTATTATTTTTGCTTCTGAAAACCCAGCTTTTTGGTCAACTGTCTTGTGATTTGGCTGGGCCTGGTTGTGATTTGGTGGGGTCACTCTCTGAGGTTGGGTAGGTCTTTAGAGAAGATTATCTGGGAACTCCCATTTTTATCTCAAACCCGTACCAAACCTGCCCCCATCCAACATTATGGAATTTAGTACCAGAGCATCCTTGCAGATTAGTTCTCATTTTCTCTTTGCGAGCACACACACATCAGATAGAGGTTCCAGAAACCCAGCTCCAGGACACTGTTCACATATCACAGGACAAGCAAGAACATGAATACAAGAGTTCTTTCCTGACCAGCAGTGGGAGGTGGTTGTACTATCTATTTATTTGTTTATTTGTTTGTTTCTTGAGACAGTCTTCCTCTGTCGCTCAGGCTGGAGTGCAATGGTGCAATCTCCACTCACTGCAATCTCTGCCTCCCAGGTTCAAGTGATCCTCCTGCCTCAGTCTCCCTAGTAGCTGGGATTACAGGCACCCACCACCACACCCAGCTGATTTTTGTGTTTTTAGCAGAGACAGGGTTTCACCATATTGGCAAGGCTGGTCTGTAACTTCTGACCTCAGGTGATCCACCTGCCTTGGCCTCCCAAAGTGCTGGGATTACAGGTTATGAGCCACCGTGCCTGGTCTGGTTCTACCATTTATTAAAATGTCCATGTGTGTTTTTTACTTTTTTGGTGGGCATTTTGTAGTTAATAATTTGGAAATAAAAAATTTCTACAGCAAGTTTATTTTTTGTGGAGACGAAGTCTTACTATGTTGCCTAGGCTGGTCTTGAATTCCTGGACTCAAGTGATTGTTCTGCCTTGGCCTCTCGAAGTACTGGGATTACAGGCATGAGCCACCATGCCCTGTTAACCAGCAAGTTTTATACTGCTGTTCTTGGTAGGGAATTGTCTCAGGTAACAGTGGTAGAGAACAATGTGGTTGTTGGTGGGACACAGTGGTTCACACCTGTAATCCAGCACTTTGGGAGGCTGAGACAGGAGGATTGCTTGAGGCCGAGAGTTCAAGACAGGCCTGAGCAACATAGCAAGACCCCTTCTCTAAAAATGAAAAGAAGAAAATTATCTGGATGTGGTGGCATGTACCTGTAATCCCAGTTACTTGGGAGGCTGAGGCAAGAGGATCACTTGAGGCCGGGAGTTCAAGACAGGCCTGGGCAACATAGCAAGACCCCTTCTCTAAAAATGAAAAGAAGAAAATTATCTGGATGTGGTGGCATGCACCTGTAGTCCCAGGCCCAAAGATCCTTTTTTGAGTAAAATCACCATTCACAGGTTCAGGGGATTAGGAAATTGACATATCTTGTTAGGGACCACCATGCAACCCACTGAAGCGATGTGTATATTTATGTATTTAAGGAAAGGCAAGACAAAGAGAAGTGCATTGGAAGCAGTGATCTTTTTCTTTCCCCCCACTCCAAGTTTCTGTCATTTGTCAAGCTATTCCCAATGTCTCTCTCTGGTGACTCTCCACTGAAGATAGTTTTCAACTTTTTCTTTAAATATAATTGAAAAAAAAAAAAAAAGAGAGACTTAGTACTCATTTCTTTGACCTTCAATATTGGTTGTCAGGTTACAGTGATTAACTTTATAGGTTTAGACTAAGCCATGGGCCTCTCAGTCCCCCAGAACTCCTATGTTTATGTAATAATCCTCTCTCTCCTCTCTCTTTCTCTCTCTCTGTCTCGTGTGTGTGTGTATGTATGTGTGTGTGTGTGTGTGTGTGTGTGTGTGTCTTCTAGGAAAGTAAATACAGTTATTTACCTATGAGCAATTCTAAGAATTCTGATTCCTCTCTAGATTGAGTAACACAGATTGCATCTCGTGGACTGACATAATGCACATGTGCTTTGACTTATCTTCTGACCAAGGCTGTTCAACACTGACAGGCAGCACTGTAACCCAAAGAGTACTTTTCTGGTAGATTCCTAGTTTTTCCATGGTCCTGGCTGAGCAAATGTCCTTTAGATTTGACCTAGAAAACCCTTCTTGTGTGTTTTGTAGCTTCACAAGCCACTGCTAATGTACCTTCTTCACTTGGGCCACCCACGGTGATTTCTATCCTGGATTCCCTGAGCCAAATACCCATGATGGGATGGTTCAGTGATGTGGATGGATGGCTATTTGTGTAAGGGCTGAAACTAGTTTTCTAAGATGGGAGAGCTGGGCAGTTACTTACACGCTGAAGCCCTCCTTCTTCTTTGGTGGGGCTTTCCAAGCACTGCCTAATAGTTCTCTGTATTTAAGATAAGTCATGATTGTTAGGAAAAAAAAGAAAAAAAAGTTAGTTTTTAGACTCCTGACAAGTAAGACTCTTAAAATTTAGCAAATAATACCTCATGATTTTTATGATGGCTGTTTGATTATTTTAATTCCTTGGCAACACTGAAGAAATTCAAAGAAGTTCAATAGCGAGTAATAGCTATAAAGGGAAGAAGGGTGATTTGTCAAACTTCAGAATCAACTTTAAATGTAAAAACAAAAAGATCATTCCCCCGAATCAAACCACCTCATCATGGTCTGAGCCCTTGTTGAGTGAGGAGAGAAAACATTTACAGAACACCTGGAAAGACCTTCAGGCCTGGAGCTGAGAAATATGTGGAAGCCTCACTAGAATGAGTTCTTTATTCATTCGGTGGACGGCCAGGTTACTAAGGAGCACTTTTTAATAAATTATTGACCAAAATCCCCTTGGGCCATCTCCTAAAATGATCTTTATCATAATAGCTATAGTAAAAAGAAATATGGAGAGGTATTCATACGGTTGGAAATCAGAAGGACAGTTTCCTAACACTGTAACTTACACTTCTGAGATTTCTGCAGGCATCAGGACGTGTGCATGCACAGGACTTTGCTGTGTTAGGAGGTACCTTAGTTTGTATCAGATGTGGCTTTGGAGGGTGCTCTTTAATAAAGCACTGCTAATTATGGGTGGGTTCTTCTCAGAAGGAAGAACTGAAAGAGGTATGAAACTTCTGAGAAAATGAGCTGTCTTCTCTTACCAGCGTCTGCAGCCATCAAAATGCTGTAGGCTTTAGTTGTCTGCCAGTTCCCAAGCTGAGCTGTCTCCTTCATGGTTAGGATTTATTGTTTGTTTAGAAAAAACAACAACATTCTGTTTATAACTCAGAGCATTTGTGTTTTCTGCTGAAGCTAAAATACTCATTTATTCTTTCCTAGAGGAGAAAAGAAAAAGAGAACAATTAAAAACAAGAAAAGCAAAACTAGATATTCTAAATTTCATAAGCATTTTTCACAAAGAGACTAGGCAGTATTTTTCCTTAAAGAAAATCACTTTTTTTTTTTTTTTTTTTTTGAGACACCAGGATCTCTGTCACCCTGGCTGGAATGCAGTGACGTGATCACAGCTCACTGCAGCCTCATCCGTCCAGGCTAAAGCCATCTTCCCACCTCAGCCTTCCAAGTAGCAGCTGGGAACATAGGTGCACACCACCATGCCTGACTAGTTTTTTATTTTTTTTGTAGACAGGGTCTCACCATGTTGCCCATGCTGGTCTTGAACTCCTGGGCTCAAGCAAGTCCTCTTGCTTCAGCCCCCTAAAATGGGGGGATTACAGTCCTAAGACACCATGCCTGGCCAAAAATCATTATTAATTAAAAATGCCAGAGCAGCCTTTTATCTAGACTTTGATGTTATCTACACTGCAACTATCTCTTGTGAAATGGGAAAAGGCAGAGGGGAGGACCTTTGTTATTGTCTCTCTGGGGATATAATTGGGAAACTAAGGCTGGGCATGGTCAAGACCCTGTCTTTACAAATAAAAACAATTTGGAAAACCGAATTGCCACGTGATTCTGTGGCTTGGTACAAGGCCGCAGGTGAGACTGCTGCATTTCTCCTGACTTGTAACGTTGTGTCCTTTTCACTAGACCGCCTCTGGAGAGCCTGTGTTGCTACTTGTCATGTTTCTTAGGATCAGCTGTCAAGAACAGATGTAGTTGCTGCCCAGCCTGGCTTCTGTATTAAGTAGTCGGTAATTTTGTAGCTATTGATGAGAGTTCTGACGCACTTAGTTTTTTTTACACTGACCTGGTGGTTCAAAGGTGTGGGGGTCCCAGGGAGGAGGGGCTGTGTGAAAGTCAGAGCTGCTCTTTTCCCTGGTTTTATCCAGTCTGAGTCTCCCAAGGAGGAGACGTTTGGGAGGGGGAGGTGAGTGTGGATGGATCTAAATATATCTCTTCCCAGCCATTTTGAAAACTGTTTTTCCAACTTGTGCTTTTTCCAAAACAGTTTTTTTCTCTTTGTTACCAAATTATACAGGTAGAGGTAGACACTTCTGTGCAGCCTAGCCTAATGGTGTTAGTGGGGGCGGTGTCATTACTTGTCTGTCTTTCTTTCAGACCGGAACATGAACATTTTGCAGTACTGCCCCTCTTCCGATATCTGGACCCTCTTTGAAACATGTGACGTCCACATTCGCAAGCAGCAGATGGTGTCTGTGGAAGAGACCATCTACATCGTGGGGGGGTGTCTCCACGAGCTGGGGCCCAACCGCAGGAGCAGCCAGAGCGAGGACATGCTCACCGTGCAGTCCTACAACACCATCACCCGGCAGTGGCTCTACCTCAAGGAGAACACGTCCAAATCGGGGCTTAACTTGACTTGTGCGCTCCATAACGATGGCATCTACATCATGAGCAGAGACGTCACCCTGTCGACCAGCTTGGAACACCGAGTGTTCCTCAAGTACAACATCTTTTCAGATAGTTGGGAAGCATTTCGGCGTTTTCCAGCCTTTGGACATAACTTGCTGGTGTCTTCTCTTTATCTGCCCAAGAAAACAGAAACATGACTGAATTGAATTCGTAGATGAAAGAAAACTGGTTCAAGATTTTTTTAAAAAACGTAGTGTCCCATTGCAAGGGAGACTGATTCCTAAAGGGTAAAGAAGGGTTAAAGTAGGTCACATATATATACAGTAGCAGCTGTAAATAAGCTTACTTGAACTAATTACTTGAAAACTTGTGGAAAAAAGAGACCAATTTTGTTATTTTTTAAATTATTGATTTTTTAAATTATGGGAGCAAATCCATCTCCAGACATGATACTCTTGGGCCAATGACGGATCATCAAAATGTAGATTCATTGTGACTGCATGGTAAAGGGCCACAGTCAATAATTGGAACAAATGGTAAAGATGATTTTTAAAATCTGTTGTATTTAGGTCCCTTTACAGATCATTAGCACCTTATGTGAGAGATTTTCTTTTTCTTGCCAGTATACTTGACAAGCATTCATATTAACATATTCATTCCCTTTTCTCCATCAGGCATACCCACACATACATCTAGTATGTTTAAAATAGGGTTCTGTGTTCAGATATTTTCTTTGCACACTACTTTTTAGGAAACTTACAATGATGGAGCCCTGCAGTGAATCCTTGCCAGTGTTCAGTCCTCCTTAAAACTTACATTAAAAACACTCTCAGCTATGTTTCCAGCCTTCTTTGCAGGTACAAATGCTGGATTAATAGATTGATATAACCTTTTATTTTATTTATGTGACAGATTGCATACTTATGTGGTCACATAGGTTGCATTGCTAGGTGTTCTGTATAAAGAGGATATGTTATTTAGAAAAAATGAATATATGAATATTTTTAAAAATTGAGTCTTAAATTTAAATGGGAAGGGAAGAAAACACCAAATAAGACAAAAATTTGCCTTTGAGAGTTACTTTTATTGAATGTATTTGACTTAGTTCTTATTTTAAGGCTTAAAAAAAGTTTATCATATTTAAGTCAGGCAACTAATTTAACCTTAGCTTTGTAATTCATGTTTTGCTTTTGTGGACTAAGGTAAGGACAGCAGTTAAACATTTGTGCTGGAGTAAGAGGAAGAAGCCCTTACAGAAGTGGAATGGCTTCTGGTAGTATTTCTGAAGTTAGGTAAAGTGCTTTTTACTTGCCTTGGTTGTTAATTGAAATAGAATTCGGCTCAAGCAGCTGTTTTCACTGAGGGAGTTAACAATAAAAGTTTCTGCCAATCATAGATCAGCATTCCTCAAAAATATATATACTCATACTTACAGAAATTTTATTTTGATTGAAAAACACTCTAAAATTATCTGATATTTTGTAATGGAATCAGTTAAACTGAGCTGGATTCCATCATTCTGCACTAACAGCAGGCAGAACCATTTCAGTTAGTGTGTGCCTCACTTTAAGAAAATCCCGTTGCGGGAAAAAAACTGTCAGAGCAAATTCATGCATTCAGCAAACACATATTGAGTGCCTGCAATATGCCGTCCACTGTGCAGATGTAGGATGGGGCTAATTACTTGGAGTTCTTCAGTTTATTATAGGAGTCACTACAGGGTTTCTTTACAACTATGGTCTCTAGTATATACTTAAAATAACCGTCCAGTTATAAAAAGCCTATTTGCACAACTTTTTTGGGAATACTTCTATTAAGTAAAATGAGGTAAGCCATTATTTTGGACATAGAAACAGATCTGTGTATCTTGTCACCAAATAATCTTATCTCTGAAGTCTACTTACAACTTTGTAAGGGTTTCTAAGCTGTGCCCATTTATTCCCAAATATTAAGCCCTTAAAAAGGTAACCTCTGAACAAAAATCTGTGCCCAGTAATAGTACTTAATAGATTTTAATGTTAATTTATATTCATTATAGAATTGAATTTCCAGTGACCTATATTTTATTACATATATTTTAAAATCTAATTTATTTTAGATGGTGTTAACTTTTTCTTGCTGAAGAGCTTAACTTTTTAAAGGCTTAGTCCTATACATTTAGAAGATGAGTCAGTTGAATTAGTACTGGACAAACAGTTGGAGATTAGCTTGCAAATAAGCACATCATATCAAATACAGTATTCCTGCCAACCAGTTAATTCTCTTCCTGATTACATTATTTGGATCTGCTTGCCTAATCTTAACAATTAGATTCTTGGACCAAGTGTAGATATACTCTGATCCGCAAAGCTCTTTTATAAACCAGGTTTGGGTTGTGTGTATGTGTGTGTTTGGATAGTATAGCTCTCTTTAGGACAGGCATCTATCAAGATTTTGTTATTCTGGGCTGCCAGCAGTACTTGAGAAAGCTAGAATGTGCAATAGGAACAGATTTGTGCATTTTGGGATATCCTTCCTGCCGTGCACATCAGCTGTGTTGACATTTTGAGGATAGTTTTAATTTAGCTGTCTTCTTGTTGGTGCCAGTTTACACTGAAGACCCTACCTATGATAGAGGCAATGTTGTTTTGAAAATCTCCCTTCATCCCCTAGGACTGTCCTTTACTCCTTGATAGTATCTCTCCATTTTCTTCCCAATTCTCTAAATGCTTTATCGTTTTTTTTCAGAGATGCTTCTGAGGGACCCTGACCTCCCACTATGGGGATGGGGTTGCTTGGAGGACCTGGGGTGACAGCCCACTGACCAGAAGCACCCTATTTTATAAATAGCGGCTTGAATGGTGGAGAGTGAGTCTCACGTGTGGGTTGTTAGAAGGCTGGTTCCGACGTCCTGTCATTCTCTCTGGCTTTCCTTTCAACCCCCGCAGTTTCAGAGGCCTCTCCCCTTAGCATCCTTTAAAAGGTTTTCTCATGAATGTCTACAAGAGTTGATTATTTTGACAGTATAGGTTAAGTCACAACGACGAAGTACTGAGAAGGTTATCAGTACCAGGAAAACAGAAGTCTTAAGATTAGAATGAGAACCAAAGAGAATTTAACCCTGCCATTTTTTTTAAACACCAAGATCCTAAGTAATTCTAAATGCCTTAGATATCAATGAAAGCTACACACCATTGAGATGAACAAAATTCTCTCTCTGTGAAGGGAGTAATCAAGTAAATGCCTGTTCTCTTTCAATGGACTGTTGCTTATTGAGCATTGTGAATAATGTGTTTTCAGATTTCCAGTTCTGACCCTACCTGTTTGGCCAAAGATGTAAATTGAGAGGAAAGGCCTTGGTCTTCCTGATCAGCCAGCATTTAATGAACAGTGGCTTAATGCAGATCACTCAAGAGGCAGCACAGCAGTGTAAAAGGAATGTAAGTAGGAGTTGGATGCCTTTTTCCTAGGCCAGGAATGGGGAATACATAACATCTGTGCCATCGTTCTTCTAAGGAGGCATTATTGAATGAGTGCAGCATTCCTTTCCTCTGTGCCAGGATTTGGTCTTAGAATCTATGTCAGATGGGTGCTTCCAGACATCTATTCCCAATCCATCAGCTATTTGCCACCCCTGCCTTAGACAGAGGAGTGAAGGAATTAAGAGGGTAGACACCAACCAAAATGGCTTTGAAAGCAATAAGCTGATTCAGCTCTAGTCCTGTGGTAACTAGAAAGTGTCTGTCATGTGCAAGACAATGCTAAGAACTGAGAATGCAGATATAAATGTCACAGTCCATGACCTTGAAGAGCTTACAGCCTTATAAAGAGGTTCACTGTAATTGTCTTCACCAGGGCATCCTTCTCAAAGATGCCCACTTTTGTCTGGCACATAGGGGCTTGGTGGTCTGGTGGTCCCTTCCATCTTGGCCCAATCTATCCTTTGTTTTTGTGATTTACTAACAATTACCATTAACCAGTTTTGTTTTTCTTTTCAATTTGAACATCACATCCTGTGTTTTAGTTTTTTCCTCTATGCTTTTCTCTCACTGCTTTTCATAGTCTTCTATGTACTTTATTATTATGAAAAAAATGAAAATCATATGTAATTTGCTTTATTTTAAAATGCTCACTAAGCACTGCAGACTTTGCAGTTGTGGTCCCAGCTGCTTGGTCCAGTGGAAAGGAAGAGTGAAGCCAGGGAAGTTAGTATCCAGGAGGGGCAAGTTGATTGCATGTGCATTTATACCTATGCCTTTAAAACATTCCCATAAAAAGAATAAAGAAATTTCCATTCTGCACTAGTACCGATGAAAAGACACTTGATTTTGCCTTGTGATAATTATCAAAGGATAGTTTTTCATCCTTAGGTTTAATTCACATAAGAGCTTTTTTTTTCTTTGTTAACTTAGGAACACATCAGTTCACATCAGCTGACATGTTGCTGACGTCTGTACTTGACATAACCATTTTTATTCCTACAGGAACCATTAAATATAAAAGATGGTCAATTTTGAAGAGCAAAAGGGTGCCGAAATGACTTGTAGGGTTGGCTGGTGCTTTTTCAAATGGATTGCTGTAGTTTATTACTCGTAAAGAAAAGGAAAATGTGATTTACGTTATTGTCGTTTTTTCTATTTAAAAAAAAAAAACCTTAAGAATGGGGCACTTTAGCTGTCCCCACAATGTTTTCATATCTAGTAGTCATTTTAGGGAAAGTGATAATCTGTAGAATGAATAGTTATGTTTTGATATGACCGATACTTTCTTTGTTAAAAAGGTTGTATTGTCTTCAATTTCAAGTGTAGCTTAAAAGTGTAAACATTATGTGATTCATTTGAATACAAGAATGCCTATGAAGTACTCACTATAACAGCATTCCTTTTGTGTTTAGAACTATAGAAGAAAAGATCTTCAAATAAAGTAGTTCTCAGTCACTTTTTGTTGTCTAAGTTCTATTTATCAGCTGCATATTCAGGCCTGTGCCAGGACTAGGAGGAAATGGGTGAAGCAACTCAGGAATCTGAGGAGGGAGGATTGCTTGGGGCCAGGAATTTGAGACCAGCCTAGGCAACAGTGCAGTCCTGTCTCTACAAAAAATTAAAATAAAATAAATTAGCCGGCGTGGTGGTGCATGCCAGTAGTCCCAGACACTTGGGAGGCTGAGGCTGGGGAACTGCTTGGGCCCAGGAGTTCGAGGCTGCAGAAAGCTCTGATTGCACCACTGCACTCCAGCCTGGGCAAACAGTGCAAGACCCCAAGTCAAGAGAAATCTATGAATAAATGGACAAATTTCCTACACAGGACACACTAAAGGAGGAGGAGGATGGCTGACCCAGCAGAGTGACATCCAAAGCTAACTGAGCATTTTTTTTGCCAGTAATTCTAAGCATTATTTATTTATTTAATCCTCACATGGATCCCATGTGGTAAATAAAAATATTATCCTCCACTTTACAGTTGAGAAAACTGAGGCACTGTTGGTTACAAAATGCCATTTGGGAAAGAGGAGAAGGGAAAACTACATACGGCGGTCACTCGTCTAAAAGGTATCCTTTCTTTTGCTGGTGAAGGGGTTTCCGAGTGAGCCAATTTCGGAGCCTCTGGTCCTGCTTTTGCAGCAGTGTTCCATGGCTGGCCTGCGCGGAGGTGGCATGGCAGCCTCTTCCTGTGGGCATGGTTACAGGACGTGTGTGGAGGGGAGCTCAACATTTCTGCGGAGGCTGAGGATCCCAGGCTCCTGTTTGTAGGCCATCAACATTTCCTTGGCAGTCAAACTTTAAAAATCCATTTAGGGCTGGGCCTGGTGGCTCACACCTAGATAATCCCAGCACTTTGGGAGGCTGAGGTGGGAGGATCACTTGAGCCCAGGAGTTCAAGGCCAGCCTGGGCAACACAGTGAAACCATGTCTCCATTAAAAAAATAAATAAAACTCAGATGCTGGTAAATCCAATCTGCTGCAACTCCGTAGGATAAAGGCCCAGATTTAGAGAAGCCCAGTTTCTTTAGCTTAGAGCCCATCGGTATGATGTCTGTCTTTTAGTCACAGGCTTCCTGCTCATGCCTTCACCCTCAGTTTGATGGTGTCAATCTCTCTCTTAGCTTTGGGATCATCTGAAACTGAAGGGGTTTGCCGTTTCCAGACTACATCCCAGGGAATGCTGCATTAGTAGAAATGATTACCTCTGTGTGGCAGGAGGTGTTTAGAAAATAAAATTCCCACCCTATTTCTCTTCCTCCTCCTCCTCCCCGCTCCCCTTCCCTCATCCCCCTCCCTGCTCCTTCTTCCTCTTCCTTCTCCTCCACCTCCTCTTCCTCTTCCACTTTTGGAGACAGAATCTTGCTCTGCCACCCAGGCTGGAGTTCAGTGGCGTGATCACAGCTCACTGCAATCTTGGCCACCTGGGCCAAAGTAATCCTCCCACCTCAGCCTCTCAAGTAGCTGGAACCACAGGCATGTGCCACCACACCCAGCTAAAATTAAAAAAAAAAATTTTTGTAGAGATGGGGTCTTACTGTGTTGCTCAGGCTGGTCTTAAAAAACGATTCCCCTGCCTCAGCCTCCCAAGTGCTGGGATTTACAGGTGTGAACCACGGAGCCAGGACCCCCACTCTATTACTTTGCCTTCTCTGGGAGCCCGATCCTACTATATTTTCCTGCCTGTTCATGCCCCTTTAACTAAGGCAGAGAACTTGGCTCCTATAGTTCTGCCAGGCACATACTGTCTGATTCTCTGCAGTCAGCTGGCTACAGGCAAAACGGTGAAAGGCATGGACTCTAGAGCAAGACTTGGCTTCCAAATTCTGCTACTTTCTAGCTATAGCTTTGGGTAGGCTACTTAATCTCCCCAGGCCTCAGTTTCTTTATCTGTAAAGTAGGGATAACAATAGTATCCACTCTGTGAAATTGTTGCAAAAAATTGTATGAGGAAATTCATGTGATGTGTTCAGAATGGCATCTGGCACATAGCACACAATGAATGCGAGCTCTTACTATTTCCAAAGCTGTTTCCTTTATACCTTCAAACAAGCCAGCTTGGCTGGAAGCTTATGCCTTTCCTAAAATACCTTAGCAAAGCCATTAAGAGGTAGCTAACAAATTCCAGATCCTGGCACGTTTCTTTTACTTCTCCCAAAGAGGCAACTTGAATGGTCTGAGGCCAAAGATACAGCAGCTTAATCAGTTGCTTTGCTTCCCACAGAAGGTCAGGGATGAGAAAATTCTATCTACCCCATCCCTTCCCTCGTTGTTGCCCACAGCGATGCCATCTATGTTACCCTGGATCCCAGCCATCTCATGACTTCTGCGCGCCCTTGGCATTTTTGCCTTCCTGGGCCCCTTCCTTGGTTAAAAAAAAAAATTAAAAATTATATTTTACCACTCTGTATAATGACCAATGTAATCCAGGCTGGACTCATTATTACACATTCACTCGTTGTCATACTCATGTTTTTATTCGTTTTAAAAATTTTTAGAGATGGGGTCTCGCTCTGTTGCCCAGGCTGGAGTGTAATGATGTGATCATGGCTCACTACAGCCTGGTCCTCAACTCAAGGCATCCTCCCGCCTCAGCCTTCCAAGTCGCTGGGACTACAGGTCTGTGCCACCATACCTGGCTAACTTTATATTTTTTGTAGAGATCGTGGGGGGCATCTCACTATGTCAGTCAGGCTGGTCTCTAACTCCTGGACTCAAGTAATCCTCCCGCCTTGGCCTCCCAAAATGGTGCTGGGATTACAGACATGAGCCACCACTCTAAGCCCTTTAGCCCTTTCTTCTGGTTTTAAAATAAATTGCAATGAAAACACTTTTATGGACCTCCAAAAGTATTATGATGCTTCACCTGTGTGCCTTGGCCCTGCACTAAGTCATCCTAGATGTACACACCCTTGTCCTATGCCTAGCACTGTTCTGGAATGATCCAGAATGCTATCCCCAGATCCCTTTCTGAGAAGTCTGGAGTCGAATGGCCTGGTTGCAAATACCAGTTTCATTCTCACTAGCTAGTGACCTGCATTTAATCCCACAGACCTCAGTTTCCTCATTTGTGGCATGCTGGTAATAATACCGGCTTCTTTATTGGTTTCTTATGAGGATTACCACAGAAAACGTCTGTAGACACTTCCCACCAGATCTCACATATGCTCAATGCTCCATACATGATAGCTGCATGTATTTCTTGTGATCACTATTGCTAGGTCATGAAGGTCATAACCTCACAGAAGGTGCCCCTGAAGGAAATTCAGTTATTTAGTGACTTGCTCCCCTTCCCCATTATCTGGCACATCTGCAGAAGGGGCTTTGGTGAGGGAGTGCAGGCAGGTCACATGTAGTCATTGCCATTATTTAAAAAAAAAACCAAAAAACTTGGCTGGGCATGGTGGCTCACACCTGTAATCCCAACACTTTGAAAGGCCGAAGTACAAGACCAGCCTGGCCAACATGGTGAAACCCTGTCTCTACTAAAAATACAAAAATTAGCCGGGCATGGTGATGGACACTTGTAATCCCAGCTACTTGGGAGGCCGAGGAAGGAAAATTGCTTGAACCCGGGAGACGGTGGTTGCAGTGAGCTGAGACCATGCCATTGCCCTCCAGCCTGGGGGACAAGAGCAAAACTCCGTCTCACAAAACAAAACAAAACAAAACAAAAAAAACTCATACACAAAGAAGTAGGGAAGGACTTCCAGATGTGCATTTTATTTGGAAGAGGTGTTGTAAGGAAGAGAGCTGAAGCTGTTAAATGGAACGCTGTGTGTTTCATCGGATTGTTGGTGCCACTGTTGGGTTCTGGGTTTGGGTATGGACACCAGGCTGTCCTGCTTACAGCCAGACCCTCCACTGCAGCAGATTCATGCAGGGTGATTCGGAGCCACTAAAATGTAAAGAAAAAGACTGCGTGTTTTCCCAGCTCAGTTTTCAGAGCGGTGAGTAGGTGTTTTCTAGTAGTGCCAATGTTTATTTGTTTTGAAGTCTTTTCCACTCTGTTGTGGGTCTGAAACTTCACCGATCTTCAGAGGCAGCTTTGTAAAATGAAGTGGGGTTTTAATGTCTCATACTCAGATTCGTTGCATCATTTCAAAATATTTTCCACCATGGTGCCTGCTCAAAGGTCTCTGTAAAGTGTGGTGGTTATTGTCTCTCTGGCACAATTGCCCTTCTGTTTCCTTCTGAAGTTTGTAAAGTTTTTCAGGCTCTACTGTATAAGGAGCAGGGTCAATTTTACTAGCAGGAGTCTGAAATGAAACGGCAGCTGCTGTGAATGCTGTGTAGAGTAAAACCTGGCATAACATACCCACTGCCCTGCCTAGATTCAAATGCATTCACACAGAAAACCCCCAGTAAAGAAAATTTCAATGCTGAAAGAGAAGACTCGAGAAAATTACCATAGAATCAGATATGTCTGCATGTGACAGATACCCTAAAATAACAGTCCCTTATGTAAGATAGAAGTTAATTTTTCTCTGAGGACAAAGCAGCGTGGAGGGTAAGCAGTGCAGAGCCAGGACCACCAGTGGTGACTGTGGCTGGCTCATTCCAACTCGAGAGAATCGGTTATTTGCACCCTCTCTCAGTCCTAGGTTCAATGATGTCACACAGGCAACATGAAATTGGCTATGGTGTGTCTGGGTGCTGTGGCTCATGGTTATAATTCCAGCACTTTGGGAGGCCAAGGCAGGAGGATCACTTGAGTCCGGGAATTCGAGACCAGCCTAAGAAATATAGTGAGACTTCATCTCTTAAAAAAAAAGAAAAAAAGAAATTGGCCATGGTGGAGGATTTACATCAAAGACTTTGGCAAATGCTGCAAATCAGGGTTTTGCCCTCCAGAGAGCTGGTTGTTTACCACTTATCAGCATACCACTGGGTCTAGCTCTCTAATGGCGTTTAGGGACCCCAAGCTCTTTCTATTTTACTGCCCAATTGTCCTAATA